CAAGACCCTATCCCCCCCCAAAAAAAAAAAATTAAGCTGTGGCCTTGGGGTATGAGCAATTTTAAAACTATTTTTTTTTGGTGCCATGACTCTGATGCGAAAAAACACTTTAGTTATACATCAATCTATTAGAGTAATAAAGCCCCATCCGTGCAGATAAAGCATATATTTCTCCTTAAGTGTACTCATAGATGAGTATCAGTAAATACACAAAGTAATTTTTAAAGTTGGACGCCACTATAGTGTACTGTGATGATTATTACATCAAAATGACTGAATTTTGTACACCTGATAATTATTACCAAAATGCCGAAAAGTCCGAAAATAGAATTTATGTTGAAAAAATATATATATAAATTAAAATGCATACTATTATAGTACTACATTTCATTCTTAGCAAATAGTTTATACTTTATCAGTCTGTCTACTTATAGGCATATATTACAGTCTCGGGTTTTTTTGGAAAGAAAGATGAGAGTGAAACTATATAGTGCACAATTACTTAAATCATATACTCTCCTATCTGGTTGTTACCTGACATAGTCACCTTCTGGCTATGTGACCCTGGCCTCTTTGAGCCTCAGGGTTTTGTTGTATGTGTGCTGCTTATAAAACAGCAATAATAATGTTACTTATTTTACGGAACTTTAAGGATTAGTCCGTTTATGTAAAATGCTGTACAGCTTACACGTGTCTGTGGCACATAACAAGCAATTGCAATAATTTGTAACTGAGTTCCTTATAATTATGTGAAAATCAATTAGGTTTCTATCATGAAAGCCTAAAGCAACGTTCTCCACTTGATACCGACGGATTTCCTTATCTCCTCACAAATATCCCTCATCTATTTAACTCTTGCTGCAAGCATATTAGTGTTTGCGATGAGATGAATTTGTTGAACTTGAACTATCGATCAGCATGTCTTACTTAATGCTATTCTGTCTGTATTCTTATATGAGCAAGGTCAGTGAGACCGAATGTGTAGAAACCATCGTGTGGAAGGCATACTCTTTCAAAAACTGCGCATCGCCCTTTTGGAATTGTGCAAAATAGGCCAGGATATCGACAATTGTTACAAAGTAATTAATAGAAATAAAGTGCACAATAAATGTATGCGCTTGACATCAATGCCGAAACCATCCTCGCT